ATCAGTTTACCCTAATTAGCAACACTTAATTCTTTTCACCAAACCTGGTATCTTTTCCCATCCGGTACTTACAAGGTCATCAAGCCCCATTTACACCTATAGTCCACCTCAGGAAAACCCATCAAGCTTCTCCCAAACCACCTTTCACCTCCAAAAAAACATCATGTTATTGTTTTGGAGGCAAATACATCAGCTTGTCCCAGGGAGCATTTTGCCCTATATCTAGAATCCCGAGCCACCAGTATGTATGTGTGTTCTTGGATCCATGCTCACCCCACCCCCCATCTGTTGGGTCTTCTCTCCTCACCGTGAAATGCTGGTCATTTTGCTGCTGCCTCCACGGACCTCTTTCTTCGAGACTGGTAACTATCGCCTTCCCCGAAATTGCTTTTTCCCCTTTCCCCCCTGATTTCCTTTTAGCTAGCCTGTGTTTGTATGCGTGTTCTATTCTTTTATTCTCTTTTAATGAAAACCTTTCCGGTGGAACATCTGCCTGGTTGATTTCGAGAGTTCTCTTAAGGGAAAAATCCCCGTAAATATTGGTGGAGAATCCCAGTTACCCCTTCTCACTTTGTCTCATTTAACGCTAAACACACACACTCCCAACTAACTAGGAGACCGCCTATTTGTGTAACACTGCCCCCAACCCCTGGCTCTGAATTCTGGAGCATAGGTATAACACGTCAGCCATGGCCTTGTTTCACTTACCTCCCGCGGCAGGGCAAAGTTATTCTGCTTCATCACTTTGTACATATATTCTGGACGGGGGAAAGAGAGCGCCCAGAGGGGGCCAATCAGGTGAGCTCCTAAATTGTTGGTAACCAGCCGCCCCCCCCCCCGCCCCTCCCCAACAAGACTCACTTAAGAGACCAGCTTCTAGATCCTGGTTGCATAAGTAGCTCTGATTTTCCAAACTGGGGTTTGGGACAGGCTGGAAACTCTAAACCCACTTTCCCTATGAGGAAAGGTTAAAACGCTTGGGGCTCTTTAGCTTGGAGAAACGACGACTGAGGGGTGACATGATCGAGGTTTACAAGATTATGCGTGGGAAAGAGCAGGTAGAGAAAGGTCCTTTTCTCCCTTTCTCACAATACAAGAACTTGTGGGCACTCCATGAAATTGCTGAGCGGTCGGGTTAGAACGGACAAAAGGAAGTCCTTCTTCACCCAAAGAGTGATTAACACATGGAATTCACTGCCACAGGAAGTGGTGGCGGCTACAAGCATGGCCGGCTTCAAAAGGGAAT